AATTCCCCTTGTGCAAGTGAACACGAGAGTCAGACTAGGAACCCGCACTCCTTTTTTATTATCTATGAAAATAAATAAATAAATGACACATTTATTTACGTTTTTTTTTTTTTTTTTTTTTTATCGGCATCTCAATTATAAATTATTTTATATTCCTTTTATTCACTTTATTTAACTTTATTGAGTTCGTTTTTTTGATATTATTTTCACTTAAGAGTTACGAATTTTTCTCTTTCGGTATTACCTTTTTTTTTTTATTATTTTATTTTCCTTTTTTTTTTTTTTCATTGAGGGAATTTTGTTTCATCTTTATATTGTAAAACATTTATGTAACGGTTAAATGAAGCGCTTAAAATTAATTTGCATTTTTATCTCATTTTGTATTAAAATGGTTCGTAAAACGTAAAAATATAACCATTTAGAGAAATTTATAATATACTAATAAACAAAAAAAAAAAAACAAAAAAAAAAAAAGAATTACATTCAGTTTATACCGAATTTGAGTTTCCTTTTTTCACCCACCAATCGTTTCCTGCTGAGGAAAAGAAAATATGATTAAGTGTATAAAACGCTACCATAGATCTAAATTCCAATACGTAACTGCGTCGCATCATCAAGAGTTGTAGGAAGTAATCACAAAAGGAAAGTGATTTTTTTCCGCTTCGCTTGAAATATCAAAAAGGAGAGACCGAGAGTACGAGTGATGCTCAGAGGGAGCGATTTTCGCCGAGAACACTCGATACATATGCTATAGGACGAATTGAAACGTCATGTCGTTGCATTGTTTGCCTCAATCGTTTTTAAGAAACAAAGAGCGGAGGAACGGACAATTTCTAAAGGGCTAACTGTTGCGTCAGGTGGCTCAAGGTTACTATTAAAAATAAATATTAGCGGTTTAGGGTGTCCCGCGAACAAATTTCATCTTTGCTTATTTCCCCTTCCGAGTAGCAAGATATAAAGAAGTTCTAGTGGTGAGTGTGAAAAAATACGATCAAATATTATTCAGGTGACTACAACAGTAAGGCCTAAATAACTTTGGTGGATTTCCTGTGGACCGAATTGGCCGATTTTCCAAGATAATAGGAAGCTGTTCTAAAGAGAATGTGTGTACTCTTATATTTGCAAAAGTGACAAATGTCGAACGCTCTTCTTATATGCCGTTGTGGTAGATGTAAAAAGAATATAATGAAAAAAGTATGAAAATTGGCAGCAGAAGTAAAGAGAGGATATATACGGGTTTGACTGATATTATATTAAAAATGATTTACTTGTGTAGTTTGTTTAATTGTTTGTGTTTGGGTTTTCTAGAGAATGAGATTAGTAGTAAGGCTTAGACTTGGGCTTCGAAGAAAGCTTTTCTTTAAGAGTTAATTCAAGGTTTTTTCCAAAAAGAGGATTACATGTCTATATTCGATATTAGAGATTATTACATGTTCACGCATGTAATGTCTTAAACAATTAAATTGTTGTCGTGTTGAGAAAGAAATAGGTATAAGCTCACTTAAGGGTTAAGAAATTAAACTTTTCTTTGCTTTTTTGACGCATATGAGTTTTTCGCTTATGTTGTTTGTATACATATATATAAATATATATATATATATATATATATATATATTTTTTTTTTTTTTTTTTTGAATGATGATTGTATAATTAAGCTAACTTTCGTTTAAGAGTCAATGCAAATTATACTACAAAAAATGATTATCTGCATGAGAGTGTATGCTTATGTATATAGAATGTTTTCTTAATTAAGTTTTCTTTCTTTCTTTTTTTTTGTGTTT